GTAGAAAATGACTAATTCCTGATCCAGTGAAACCTGCATAGAGTATGTTATTTGAATCTCAGATGAGTAAATAGACTTATTCTATGATTTTGAAATTTTTTGGTATTTATCTTCGGTTAAAATATTCAGCATATTTTTTTATTCTCACTTACAATTAACTTGGCTTGTTCGGCTGCTTGTTCCAACTTCTTTTTTTAATGCTGTAAATAATCCACCGGCCGATTCATTAGATTAGGTAGTACAGGTATTTCTTCCGACCATGAAGACTTCAGTACTGCTAAAGGACTTCTTTGTTGTCTTTCAAACATCAGCTGAAATAGTGACACTCCGGTGGTGCTAGTATTTCCCGGTAAGCAAACAGCAAGTATAGGATGTGCTTATCCGAATTCAAAAGATGAGTCCTGATGACATGATGTAACATTTGTTTGAGGGACTTTTTCCATCTTTCTTCCAATCCATTTGAAGCTCTGTAAGCAGGTGTAGAGAATCTAGGGGTAGAACCTAACTTTTTCCTGATATTTTTTGGTTAATTTTAAAACATACTTCCGTGTTTATTAGCTGTTGTATTAGAGATTCCTGTTCTCATAAATGTCTCCAGAAGTGCATACTTCTCTGTGGAAGTGCTTCTGGCCATCGGGAATGCTGATCTCCCAAGCATTACAGTTATTTATGAAACTAGCAGAAGGAGGTTCAATAGGTTCAATTACGTCAATATTCACCGCTTCAAAAGGTAATTCTGGTCATCTGACAGGTGTGATGGGAACCTTGTCCGATCTCTCTTTTGAACTCTTCAACTGACCATTCCTTAATGTTTTACAAAATATTTCGACATCCTGTGCTATCCGGGTAAAAATATGAATATCACCTTTGTTTCCCTTATTCCAAGATGTGCTTCTAAAATAGAAGTGTGTGCTAATTCCAACACCTGCGTTCCTCTACTATTAAGAAGCACTAAATTGAAAACAATCTGTCAAAATTTTTTTTTCTTGGTGATGTAAAAGACGATCAATAACTAAATAATCTGCCTTTTCTTCAACAGCTAACTTCCATGCCTCTCTCAGCAACGGACACGTCGACTGCTCTCTTCGCAGGTTTTTGGATGTGGAAAAGTCTGTGATTATGTCAGCGCCCACTTTCTCCCCTTCCTTCTCTTCTGTTTTCTTCTACGAAAGCGCTGACCATGGAGGTAAGAAGTATGAGGAGAGGTCTTAATTGGATTTCTCCTCGCACTACTTTGAAATAGTGGCGATCCGCTCGTGCAGATCAAAACATTCAATGAGTTTCCATTAAGATCAATGGGTCTTGATATGTTCGGATGTAAGCTTTGTAATTATATAGTAAATACACGTATAAATTTATATATTTTTCTTTTTCTACAATATTTCAGAGTCCTAAGTATATGAAAAGAATACCACGTTTTCATTAATTGCATTAGAAAAAAAATAAGGTAATTCGATTTTATTCGGCTAAGGATTACAAAAATTACAAAGTTCATTGTATTATTAATTAATATTAAAGTTATGCATTATTTTTTTCTATTTACAGAGCTTTTTCCTGAAATATTTATATGAGATGATTTTTAGATTTTGGGTCATCTTTTAAATAAAAAATCTGAGTCATTTTATAATTAATGCTCTTTTCGGTTCATTTCAAATTAGAGCACCTTTAATTTTAGTTGTGAAATACCTTAAATATTGCTGCTGATTTCCATGTATTTAAATTTCTATGAATATTTCTGAATGGAAATAAAAAACATTTACATAAAATTTTATTTCAAACTTGTAACTGAGTTATTATAAAATGCAAGGAAATAATATTAATTCTTTTAATATTTATCAGATTTTTTTACCCTTAATTTCAACAACTCATATTCTAAAAATTCTTCTTTACTGTTTCCTTAAGTACGCATCTCATAGAATTTGCTTTACCGCACTTTTTAACAGATTGCTTTCCAGTACGAACAACTCTTGCTTAAATCATTTTGTAAACGTATTTGTCAACAGAATTTCAGTTTATGTTTACAATTAAATGTTAAGGTTATTATATGTTTAGATAATATTAATAATCATTATAAATTTAGATGTATTTAATAACTAGAGTTCTTCACAGTAACTTTCACGGGAGTTTATGAAGGAATAAATCCTTCATTTCCAAATACATTTATAAATAATTTAATAAATATTTACTTATTTGGTTAAAGGCAAATAGATGCTTTTTGCAAGGACATGCATAAAGACCCAAATATATTTAATATTTTTCATTTTCGGCGTATGTAAATCTTTAATTTCTGTGCATTCATTATATTTTTCGAGTACAGTAATTTGCAGTAACTTAGCATAAACCATAATTTTTTACGTAACAAATATGTGTTGCGTAGTGGCCGAAACCGCTACACAAAACCCGGTTGTAAATACAGGGTTGAAATGAACTTCTGACTCAAGTTCTAGCAATAACAATTATTTTAATTAAGAACAAGCCTTAACAGTTGCGATTTATAATGATGTGGGCATTCAGTCCCGTAATTTCAGAAAATTTTTCAAATAGGATTGTGCGAGATCACAGCATATATGAGGAGTTATAGTTCTAGCGGGCCAAACTGCTAGCATCAACAAGAAAGTCCTGACTCCTCTCAGATAACCACACTCCTTTCTCGCTACCAAAAACTTTACTAACTCATAGTGCTGTTATCTCCGCTGAATCTCGGAGTGGGGAGAGGAATTCCTCTCCTGGTCCGTAACAAATGTACCCACATTCCGACCACGGTGAAAGACTTATGTCTAGCAGACAGCTGTTGCATACCTTACCCTATTTAGTAAATACTTAACCTGAATTATGTGCCTAATTACAAATATTTGAACATGCATAATTTTATATTTACGTTTAACCATCAAGTTTCAATGGTTTGACTTAAAACACGTTTTAGGACACATTCAACATCAAATTCAAATTTCTAGTAAATATATTTTGGCGGAGCATTCAATAGTAGTAAAATTAGTGATTTTACCCAGTTTAATATTTCCCTTATAATGTAATAAATATTAACTATCCATTTCAAATTTAAACAATTAAACTCATTGTCATCAGATCGCAATCTTGATTGATTTACTCTACATAATATTACTTCATTTTTTGAAACAGTTAAAACAACTACAGGATCGTTCACTCTTTGGCCACATAAACCGTACGAGATCCTATTAAGGACCCTGCTGACTTGTGGTACAGGCGTAAATGATGACAATACAGAAGGATAAAAATAACCCTTTATTTTTATCAACTATAAACAGAAAGGCACATACTTCGTGCTTTACAATAACACCGACAATTTACGGTGAAACTTAAGAATCGTTCCAAAATCAGTTCAATGCTAAAGAACAGTGCTGGACTAGCACTTTAAGTTAAGGCTAACTTGGTTCACTCGACAACTTACCAAGCTGATAATTATTTAAATGGCCAAAAAGGCGTATCAACAACTCCGCGTAACAGCAAGGACAGATTAGTAACGTGCGCTGGCTAGCGGAAATGAACTGAACGAACGAAATCCAAGAGTCACCCGTTTAAATACTCACTTCACTTAACTTTAAATTTGCATCCTGGATGAAGGAAAATATCCTTCATCCTGACAGGAGAATCAGATTCTTTCGAAATTGAAATGATATAATTTTTCAAATATGCTCTAATAACTGTAGTGAATATCGACAGAAACGTATCACGATATAGAAACTGAAAAACCCAAGGTCTTTCACTTTCGAAAATATCAAGAAGCGCTTGATAATTCAGTGCAATCATAATACATTTGTGTAAGGGTGAAAATTCAAAAACAAAAATTAAAGTGACTGGTGTGTATAATTGTTTGAATCTTAATCTATTTGATAACTATTTAACAAGCTATTTGTTTGTTAGCTATGTCGTTCTTAATATTTTTTGGAGGGAAAGGGAGTACTTTTTTTCATTTTAAGCCTTTTCCAGCCATTTTAAGGGGCATTTTCAATGAACTTCCAGGTTGTCAAAATCCAGACCCAGATAACAACAATATGAAAGCCATACTGTTATAATTTTTATCCACGATCTCTGACAAGATAAACCCCTATGCGCCTTATAGTTATTCTAGTTGAAAAACTTGGTATAAGTAACAATAACACTGAGAAAATTTAGATGCAAATAATTCTCCGAAATATCATTACTCTAACTTTCGTGGTAGACTTACAGATGGATACAGAATTTTTAATAGAATCAAATTACGCTTGAAGAGATAATTATTTTCAATTATACCAGAAGCAAACATTGCAAGAGTTTTAACAATTCCTAACTATACGGGCAAGAAAATTATTGCGAGGGAAAAAATTCCATCTACTGCTTCATCCAGCTTTGTTGACTTAATTATGTTAACATATTGTGATCAATAGGCGAAACACCCTAGACAGTTTTCATAAAACATATACTCCAAATATGTCATAATTAAAGCATAATACTTTATTTGCCAGATCATAGTCTTTTCTAAATCTATTACTGTTAACCAGTGAAACTACATTTAGGTTGTTAAAATGCTATGTTTTGCATCACTTTTAATGTCTTGCGGGAATGTATATGAGTATTAATTCTGGATATCGAATACTTATAAAATGGATTTTTCGTTACGCAGTATTCAAAGCTAAAATTTCCTTCTACAATACACAAAAAAATTAAAGCACCAAATGCCATAAAAGGTGTTAAAAATTTACTATCTCTTGCTTTTGTGTTGCTATGAAGGCAAGAAACCATTTCAACTGAATCACAGAAAGACTTTTGCTTCTTTTAGTGGTCGTGTCATTTTGAGAATGCGATAAAAAATCAGTACATCTCTTTCGGAGATGCAAGTCGGTTAATGCCCAACCTTCCTTCCTAATATTCAGAGCGCGTGATCTGGTCACACATGACAGTCACCTTATAGTTTGTTTGTTCCAGTCACCATAGAGACTGCGATGTCCGCGGCTACTAAACATCGCAAATATACAGTAATGTGCTTCCGTCCAGACAGTATAAGTCCTTGCTGCACGTTGTCACGAGACGATTAAATTGCACTGGAACTTCTTTCCATCAATGGATCTCTCTAATGAGCCATAGCGACTGCATTCTCCTGGAGGCTATTTCCTTGTTTGCCCAATACGCAGTCTTACTTAGAGTAAGTTGTCACATTTTCCTCTTTTATTGATTTGCACTCATTCGTGTGAAATATTTTTACATTTTTAATGAAAATTTATGAAATAAATTTATTACTTGTTTACGAACTTTGTCTTTGCGAAAGAAAAATATTATAACTAAATTGACTCTTAATTTTCATCAATGAGGAAATATTTTTCTTCATAGATTTATAGAATATTAAAAATATTTAAATATGAATAATCCCAAATACATATGCATATATGTAAATATTTAGCATGCTAAAGAAAACTGGAAGTGATTTCTTAAAGTAATGTATTATCTCAACCTGCTTAGAAACTGTCCAGGAACAGAAAATGTTAAAAAAACAGGAAATGTTAAAGAAGTTTTGATAGCCTATGTTTTAAAAATAAATTTATGTACTTAAAATTTGCATCGCAAGTACCGACCTTATTTGAAAACAGAAAAAAATGTTTTATGTGTACTTTCGGAATAGTTTAACACTGACTTTACGTAAAACTCGTAGATAAGTACCTAAAATTTTTTCTTTTCTATTTCTCGGATTTTCATCACATTAAATCTTTCCTACGTAAACTTGCATATCTCATCTCATTCCCTTGTCTCCTTTTTGATATACTGTATTATATCTCTTCACACATAAAATTTATTAAATTGTTTAGAATTTTATAGTTTTCAGAACCGTTGTTCTGTATTTTAGTGTCACTGAAAACCTTTAACATTGATTTAATTCTGTCCATCCCCTTGAAAAATAACAGAAATAAGACATTCATACTCAGTCACAAGTTATTAGTTAATTAGCTTTTTGTTTCAGTGTTTGAATATTTAGCATTTCCTTTTAGGTTCTAAAATGGTAAATGGTTCTAATAATGAATATTGTTTCTGTACTTAGTTTTAATAAATTATTGTTGTTTTTTTGTTGTTAATGGAAAATTAGCTAATTTAAAATATGTCTGTAAAATAATTACCTATTAATTTACAGAGATTAGTTTTTTGGTAATATAAACTAATTCCAAACTCCTAGCAGACTGGGAGCGAATTGCCGCTGCTCCTGAAGTTAACGATAGAGTCTTGGGAAGCTTTTTAAAACAAAACTTTTTATTAAATCAGAACTTGAATATAAAAGCAAGATTCATGCTTACCAATCAAAAAGCAACTAAACTTAAGCAGCAGTCAAAATTAGGTTTAAAAACTAATAGCCAAATGATTTAACGCGAAGTTGGCACAAAATTTCTCACCGGCGTACCAATTTAAATGTCGACAATTATAATGCAATGCTAAAGTATACAATCATACCTGAGTTAACGAAACCTAGTATCTTGTCCTCGAGAGGCAAGAACACACTCTGACTTACCAATCTGAAAAGCCTCACCTTAAGTAGTCACCTTAACACCTGCGTTCTGGTAGGGTAACGGAAGGAAGATGTGACGGTAAAGATTTAAATCAAAACAACTGGTGAGATAAACGCAGCGTTACAAATTATTGTTGCATAATTAATTATTTTATTTCAAATGGTTAAATTAGTTTCTTTTAAAAGCATAAATTTTGAGAATTTAATTTTTAAAGTACAATACTAACCTACAAGCACTATCAGTCAGTATTTATGATGGTCAATGGAAGCTGCTTTCTTGGCAAAAAGCTCGACTAGAAGCCTGGATGTATGAGAAACCTGGGTACCTCAGTATGTATGTCTGTAGTGCCTATGCGAAAACTAAAAACTCATCTGTCCAAAAGTCACTTCTCCCGCGGTCGACAGGGTGCAACGCCTGGTGTTCTGGCGACATTTACCTTGAAAACCTCGAATGCTGGAATAAATAATCAGTCTTCACAGTGACTAGAAACATCGTTTATTCGGTGGTAGGTTCAAGTTAGCTACGTAATGGTACTGTTTTGCCTGCCCTTTGGTTGTGGGGACGTTACATGGTTTGATATCGAAAGTTGTCCTCGGGATTTGGCTCCCCTTGGCCAACACTGGGGGATAGACTACGACATTCTCTGTTCTCTTCGCTGGTGACTGCTAATTAATAGCCATTGACGTGTGTTCTTATTTCCAAATTGTGTGTATTTTTGACCCCCTGAGTTGACAGGGGGTTGTTATGACTTCTTGGATCTCCTCTAAGGGTTGGGGCATTATAACTATATAAGGCATCAAATCCAGGTCTGGGAGCCCGTTCTCTCTAGTGTAGTGTCCAAACGTCATTGGTGCTAGGAAACCAAGATATGAGGCTCTCATATTTAAATATTTTTTTTTTTTTTTCATTTTTCATCAAAATAGGGACTGAGCTGAAAAAAAAAAGCGTACTGCCACTTATGGCATTCAAGGTCGGAGACAAACAGGTGCAAATAATGCACCTATCCATGATTAATCAAGAAGCCCATCTATGTGGCTAATGCTGGAATTTCACATTAGCGACAACAAATTTCACAATAGCGGCAAAATATATATATCAAAGGAATCCAACTTTTCTTTAGCTTATATTAAAATACCGTTAGTCTAGTTAAGCGTGAAATAACTATGCATTCCAAAAAATGAATATTATTTCCAAAGTTTAGAGCAAACACTTCAACAAAACCTCCACATGCATACATGCTCATCAAAGTTAATATGTGAAATAAAAGCAAGTAAAAAAAGTCTAAATTAAAACTACTTTCCTGTTAGCAAATTTCTCTTAAATATGAATTTAATAAATATGATTTTTCTGCATCATATGCGAAACCTATTAGCATTATTTACTTATTTTTTCTTAAAAAGAATATTTCTTGTATCCTTACAGGTATAATAAAGTGTGAAATTAAAAATAATTTTGATACTGAAACATTTAAAGGAACTGCATACTTTAATTACCTTTAATCAGTTTCCCCCCTTTATATCAAGATGTACATTTTACTCTTATATCAAGATGCAAAAGATTTTATAAAAATGTGCATTTGTTTAAATTATCTGAAGTAACTCGAAAGGTGACTTATATGAAATAAAGAAATTTTGCATAGCTGAGTGATAATTATGTTAGGTTCCTAATAGTTAATTTTAAGTTTTTGGATTTCAGTTTCGTTTTAATATTTTATCCACTTCGGAAACTCATGCAAATATCAAATATACTGAAGTAGGGTTAAATGGTGCAGTATTAACTGCACAGGAAATTAAAGCTTAGTCAGTTTAGTTTGCTGCTTGAAGAAGCGTGCTGGTCATATTTTTTGGAGTTTCCTCCTGAGTTTCTGTTGACGGTGATTTCCAGAGCCATTTTTGAATAACTGGAAATTGAATTTTGAGTATTAGAACACGTCCAGCAGCCTAGTTAGAGTTGTAAATTTTTGATGTTTCAGGTCAGTTGTTCGTAAATTAGCAATTTTTCAAATTTTTATATAATATTATTTTAAGCTAAGTCTTTGGCTACGGTTAAAATACGTTTTTAGTTACGCTTAATTTTATTTACGCTGTAAGGTAATTTGTTAGGTCATAATACACTCGAGTTGGCGATAAATCGCCTTAACTCTTGTGTTTCCTACATTAGGCTGGTAGAATGAAAGCTGGTCACAATGTCAAGTTGACAAGAAGAATTTAATTTGGATTTCAAGAAAAATTGTTTAGGAAAACTTCTCAGAATTTGAAATTTTCCTTAACTTCAAATTGAAATCGATATACTGATAAAATTTAAAACTCGAGAATCAATTTAATCACAAAATTTTAAGTACTCGAGAATTAAGAAAAGAAATTATTATAAAAATATTTATTAACAGTTGTTTGGATAATTTTTTTCAGTATTTCATATCAGCAGGATATTTAGTAAGTTCAATGTATAAACATTTTTAAGTATTATTATAAATAACTGGTGCATAAATTTTTCTGAAATTGTATTTAATAGCCATTGTATTAAAAGAAGTTTGATGAAGTCTTTATTTTCCAGCATTAAATAATTACAGCCCCACGTTTTGGGTTGAATTAAATAAAACTGATATAAAACTGTATTTGGATCTTTTTCTATACATTTCGTTCAGAGAAATTTGATCTCTTTTCAAGCAGAGCAAAAAGAAATCAAATTTCTCTGAATTTGAAAAGATACAAGATATGGTACTATGCATTCATGAAGCATACGAAGAAATACTCGTTCTTATCTGAATTATTCTTTTACCATACGAATACGATTTTGTCTTTTAACAAGATTCTTAAGCAGATTCTTGTTTACTTACGTTCAGAAAAGCAGAAACTTGGATTCAAACGCAAGGATAGTTAACAAGCTCAAACAATCCCCAAACCTAGAATGTGAGACAGCAGAAACATTGTAGGATATGAGTGAGGAAAGGAATTCATATATCCTGTACTGAGAATAATAGAATCTTGAGGCTAGTTTCATCTCTGAGCACATTTCCTTCATGCATTTAAAGGAAACAGAACAATAAAACAGATCGGACATATTAGTCTATTCTTGCGTTTACTCAAATACCGAAAGCTGTTAGAACTTGTTTCAAAATATAGATAATTTACTTTTATTGAATGTCACTATGCAAGAAGCATATTTTCTCTGCTGCGGATGTAAAGAAATAAAAAAGAAATGAATACTGTCTTTCTAATTAGGGTGTTTATTATTACCTTACTGAGAAGTTTAATCCTTTGCCTTTCTTTACTGTCTAGTTTCATTTGAATTTTACTTTCTGGTTCTATACAAACATTTAAATACGTACAAGTAAAGTTGTGCTGTTTGAGCATTTGTTTTATTTGCTATGATAAGGCTATTTGTTTCTTGCTCTGATGTATAACGTGTATACGAGCCAGTTTCCCTTAGAAAGTCCTCCACGAAGGCATTCCTCCCCTTAGGAAGATAGCCCTCGCGGCTTTGCCCTAATCACACACACACACACACACGTTTCTTGCTCTGATATACTTTTACCTGATAATTAAATTTAATTACTTTATACTTCTGGTTAAATGCATTTAAAGTCAAGTTTTAAGTTATTTAAATAAAATTCAAATTCATCAGCAATTAGAATTATGTCTTATTTCCAAAC